GTGACTGCCCACGCCAGCTTAAGGGGGAACTGGAGACGTGAGCACTGGCCTCCTGAGGAAGACCAAGAGCGGCGAAGAGGAGTGATAGGGATGGTGCCGTCAGGGAAGGTGGGGCCAGAATAGCTGTCAAAGCGGACCATGACAGCAATTGGCAGATCGGGTGAACCTCCAGTCCTGTAGCAGATGGCCTGTACAGTTCCCATTGCTCGGTTGACAAGACCAACATCAACCCAGAGGTTGCTGATGAGTATCACACGGGCTGACCTGGCCAGGCAGACCACTGCCTCTAGTCCTCCTGCATCATCAGCTGGGGCCTTGGCTGCATTGGGTCCTGTGTGCACTGCCTTGATGGTGGCAATGGGCTGACCACTTGCCTGGAGCTGAGCCACGTTGTACTCAACCACAGCTTCAACAGTGGGGATTAGGTGGAGGGCAGTGGAGAAAGAAGAGAGATCCTGGACTCTGGTGGTTCCAGTCAGGCACTGTGACCTCAGCATCTCTCAGTCGGAGCAGGATATCTCGGAACTTCACTTGCTCTGGGTCCTGGCCAGCCTGACGCATGACTTGGTCCAGGACCACAGCCTGCTGGAAGGTCTGGTAGGCTTCTCTCCCCTGGTCAGAGAGCTCAGTACGAGAGTCAGTGGTGTAGAGAGGAAGGTCCATGACTGGAGGGAGCTGGCCGAAATCTCCGAAGAGAAGGCAGGAGCATCCTCCAAACACCTCCTGGGAATGGTGTGGGAAAGCCTGGCGAAGGCGTCTGTCTATTTGGCCAAATGTCTTCCTCCCCACCATTGACATCTCATCGATGATGACATTCTTGACCTCTGAGAATCACTGCTGTATATAGCTTGGTGAGTCTCTCTCCCTCCAGGTCCTTGAACTCTCCTCTGGTGGGCAGACTGAGGAGGGAGTGGAGGGTTTGCCCATCGATGTTGAAGGCAGCAACACCTGTTGGAGCTGCTACCACGAGCTGACGCTGCAAGAGAAGTCGAAAAAGGTACGACTTCCCTGTGCCAGCTGTGCCAGACACAATCATCCTCAGAGGTGGGGGACTGACGGCTGAGTGGTGCTGCTGGACAATGGTGTACACCTGCAGCTGCTTTCCCTGTAGGTTGGCAGGATTGGCAGTGGTGATGAAGACATGTTGTCCAGCTACTTGTCTCTGTTGGGAGATGAAGGATGGAGCCTCATCGATGTTGGTATATGACTGGGCAGCCTGGGTCCAGTCAATATGCTCTTGGGTATCTGTGTTAGGCTGCAGGTGGTGGCAGATCAGCATCAACTTGTAGTGAACTCACCTGAGTTGTGGTTACACATGTGACAGACCATCATCAGCTGCACGATGCTATCACACTTACATAACCTTCTAGAAGTTTCTCCACCACGTGTTTGCCGTCTATAAAATGTATGCCGTGCTGTATGTGATGATCAGTTCTTATGGTCGTGACTTACGACATTTGGTGACCACGACGTGATCGCTAAACTGGCAAAGTACGAGATGTCGTCTAGTGACTCGCCTGCTCCGGACCCGCCAGCCGCACTCGTTCCCGCCGTAGCTGCCGCCGCCCCCGCACCCTCGCCCGCTGTGGCTGCCGTCAGCGTCAAGATACCGCCATTCTGGCCGGCCGATCCGGAAGTTTGGTTTGCTCAGGTGGAGGCCCAGTTCACTACCAGGGGCATCACGACTCAGAGGACTAGGTTCGATCATGTCATTAGCTCCCTGACGCCCGAGTTCGCCACGGAAGTCCGGGACCTCCTCCTGACACCGGCGGTCGCGAACCCCTACGATACCCTCAAGATGGAACTAATCAAGCGTACGGCGGCCTCGAAGCAGATAAAGCTCCAGCAACTGATCAGTGGTGAGGAACTCGGGGATAGAAAGCCTACGCATTTGCTACGACGCATGCAACAGCTACTGGGCGGCGAGCTAGGTACAGCGGGCGATTCCAACTCCTTTCTCCGCGAACTGTTTCTACAACGTCTTCCCGCTAATGTCAGGATGGTGCTCGCCTCTGCCGACGACTCAACGGACCTCCACAAGCTCGCCGACATGGCAGACAAGGTGATGGAGGTGGCTTCGCCCACTGTTGCGGCACTCTCCGGTGACCGTCCCGACCCCACAGACGCCTCCAAAATGGAACAACTCAGGGAGAAGGTAGCGCGCCTGGCTGACCTCGTTTCCTCTCTCGAAATTCATCCAGACCACGCCGTCCTAACAGTCCTGCCCCATCGAGTTTCCCGTCCACGGACTCACTCTGTTGGTATCATGCAAGGTTTGGTAAAGAGGCCCAGAAATGCAAGGAACCTTGCAGTTGGGGAAACTCCAAGGCCGGGCACTAGCGGCGACAGGTGCTACCGGCCTGAACTGCAGTCGCCTTTTTCATGTACACGATGCCAACACACACATGCGCTTTCTCGTTGATACAGGGTCTGAAGTGAGTGTCCTACCCCCTGCTTCTGTCGACCGACGACAACCGGACAAACTCTCGCTTACATCCGTTAACAACACTCCCATCGCCACCTACGGCAAACGTTCTCTTACCCTCGACCTCGGCCTCCGACGATCGCTGCCTTGGATTTTCATCCTTGCTGATGTACAGAAGGCCATCCTCGGTGCCGATTTCCTAAGGCACTTTGGGCTTCTGGTTGACATGAAGCATCACCAGCTGGTCGATACAACCACTCAGTTCCACATCCAGGGTATACTTTCTACCATTCCTTCTCCTAGTCCGTCCATCTCTCCGAAACGCACCAACAACCCCTACTACAGTCTACTGTTGGAGTTCCCAGCCCTCATGCAAGTCTGCTCTCCAGACACACCTATCGCGCACGACGTCACTCATCACATTGAGACTACAGGCCCCCCAGTCTCAGCCCGTCCCAGACGACTGGCACCTGAACGTTTTCGTGCAGCAAAACAGGAATTTGAGCACATGCTACAACTGGGGATTGTACGTCCTTCATCCAGTGCATGGTCCTCTCCGCTGCACATGGTGCCGAAAAAGACTGCTGGTGACTGGCGGCCGTGTGGGGATTACCGGGCCTTGAACCAAGTGACGGTGCCTGATCGTTACCCCGTCCCCCACATTCACGATTTCTCCTCGTCCCTGCATCAAATCCCGGTAGACCCTGCAGACGTCCCCAAGACCGCTGTCACAACCCCATTCGGCCTATTCGAGTTCGTGCGGATGCCTTTTGGCCTGAGGAATGCAGCTCAAACGTTTCAGCGGTTTATGGACCAGGCTCTCCGGGGCCTCCTTTTTGCTTACGCATACATCGATGATGTCCTCATCGCCAGCGCCACCCCTGAAGAGCACCTCAGACACCTACGAATAGTTTTCGACCGTTTCGCCACGCATGGCGTCATCATCAACCCCAACAAGTGCCTCTTCGGGGTCGTCGAACTGGATTTTCTCGGACACCACATCGAGCAACACGGCATCACTCCCCTACCAGAGAAAGTGAGAGTCGTACGAGATTTTCCACTGCCCCAATCGCAACGCCAATTGCGCCAGTTCGTCGGCCTGGTAAATTTTTACCATCGTTTTCTTCCCCGCTGTGCTGATCTGATGCAACCCCTACATGCTCTTCTTACCTCAGCGACACCGAAGTCCCAGACACTGCTCTGGACTGCCACAGCCCTAGCCGCCTTCACCGCTACGAAGGAGGCCTTAGCGAATGCATCTCTCCTCGCCTACAGTACGTCGACGGCATGTGGCATCCCATTTCCTTCTTTTCCAAGAAGATGACACCGGCAGAGACACGTTACAGTACCTTTGATAGGGAACTGCTAGCTGTGTACCTCGCGATCCGACATTTCTGCCACCTGCTAGAAGGCCGACACTTTCATGTGCTTACCGACCACAAGCCTCTGACGTACGCACTCAATACTCGCTCCGATCGACATTCTCCTCGTCAGGCGCGTCAGCTGGACTACATTTCCCAATTCACCTCCACCATCCGCCACATACACGGGTCGGACAACGTGGTGGCTGACACGCTCTCACGCATTGAGACCAACTCTTTGGTATCCGGCACGCCACCGGTCGTTGATTATGCCGCAATGGCCAAGTCACAAGCGACCGACCCGCAGATCCGGGCACTCCAGTCCTCCTCATCATCCCCTCTGGTTGTGGAGCCTATTCCCCTGCCGAATGCGGGCGACCCACTCTACTGTGACGTCTCCACTGGCACACAACGCCCCCTGGTCCCCCGGGAATGGCGACGCACGGTGTTCAATTCTCTACACAGCCTCTCACACCCAGGAATCCGAGCAACACAGAAGCTCATCACGGCCCGGTTTGTGTGGCCTGGTGTCAATGCTGATGTCCGCCGATGGACACGAGCCTGTGTACAGTGCCAGCGCGCCAAGATACAGAGGCACTCTGTCGCCCCACTCTCTTCCTTCCCCGTTCCTGATGCCCGATTCGACGTCGTCCACATTGATCTGGTCGGACCACTCCCACCGTCACGTGGGTTCACTTACC